TCTGTCTCTCTGTCTCTCTGTCTCTCTGTCTCTCTGTCTCTCTGTCTGTCTGTCTGTCTGTCTGTTTGTTTTTTTGTTTGATTGATTGGTTGATCGATTGTTTGATTGATTGGTTGGTTGGTTGTTGTTTGGTGGGCAGTAAAAATCGATGGATCCTTATGAGAACATGAAGAACATCTGTGAAGATTGAAAACGAAACTTCAGGGCCTGTCAAAGAGTTATTGGAATCAACAGGTGGGCTTCATGCAAGTTGTCACTTCCTGTGTTTTCTTGTGTGACTTGTTCCCTGGTGACAAGGTTCGGCGATGCCGAGCTCATCAGCTAGACCATGCAGGTTTGCTCCATGCTTTTGTGGCGAAGATTGGGAAAAAAGATTGGACACCTCCCATACCTTCATGAAGGTCAACTGATGTCTATTGAGCTCCGACAACCCTTGCCCGGCACTCGTTTCGACTTTTCGGAGTTCGACCTGCAGAGAGTTCCCGCTGAAGCCAATCCAAGAGCAAAGCGCTGAACTCTGTGGCGTCTGCCTGAGGCCGGACTGCTGGACAGGAGGAATGATGCGTGGAAGAAGATTTGGAACAGTCCAGTCGTTTGTACTAATAAGACCTTGTCATCTCCAGCTAGAGTAATTATATACTCGTTTCATCTTGTTTCATATATATATATATATATGATCATACGTGTAATAAATGCAATAAATTTGAGGGACTAGATGCAAAGCTATGCCTGCTGCTTTCTGCCATTCGCACCAACTAAAGCAGCGGCTTGCTGAGTGGTGTTTAAGAGGATCCACATAAGGGATGTCAAAGCCTACACGTCTCGACACGACCTCTCCAACCTGACTCAGGGGGCCGTCCTTTTTGCTCCGCAGCTGGTTGCTGTTGTGCGGGCACACTATATACATAAGAAAACAAACAGGGACAAACTAACACCTGCCACCATGGACAAGGAAAACATGTGTGCCATATCCTGCTGTAGGCAGTGGGTAACAAGCCTGAAATCCAAATCAACCCAAGCAGATTACCAAAGATCACAGTTTTGACCCACACAAAACTCTTGAAACTGTGCCAAACCCTGTGCAGCCTCCCCCCTTGTCGTGCTGGTGCTTTCGACAAACATGGGTGTAAACAGCCTCCTCTTGTCCGGTCAAAACCCAACTTCGGCCTGCTCCAGTGCATCGACACGAGCGGCCGTCACAAAGTCCTGCCCCAAGCATGGTAGAAAAACCTAGATGTCCTATCAAAGATCCAAATACCAAACAGGTCTCGACATCGGTAAACGAACCGATTACGCGTGGGTTTGGGTCACCTCCTTCCAGGATGTCTTTGAAAAAGGTCCCCGTATTTCAATACGCATGATGCGTTCATTATTTAACACGTTTTACGACTCGTTAACAAGGCAATTGGAAAAAACAATCTGTTCGATTTATCTTTGCTTGACCACTTTGATGTTGTGCGATGCTCACGGCACTGATGAGACATGAAAACCCATCAGATCTGCTCAGCCACTCGGTCGGCTCCAAAGGCTTTGAACTCATTCGGGGGGGCTTTCCTACATCCTCCACCGAATGCTCAATGAGACTCTGAACAAGGACACGGCATGACACGACTTTTCTGCCTGGAGCAGTGCCGTTCCACTGTTGGCTTGGGCAACCCCTATTCTTACATGAGTGAAACACCTTTTCTTTGATAGTCTGCTCATCATTCTCATCAGCAGTGTGCCGCAAGTGCAGGATTATCTAATGCATTTAGGATGATCTTGGAACTGGTACTTAAAAACTAGATCTTCAAATCTAAACACAATAACATAGCTCTTGATCAACGGCACCAGCAATTACCGAGCAAATCACTGAGACACATGAACGGAAGAGCCTGACCAAGAAGTGCTCTCAAACAATCTCAAACCCTGGCGAAAAGCAGTGAACAACGAAAAAAACAAATAACTATAGGACATACTATGACATACTATGACTATATCAAGAACACGTGGGCCCTGGCATTCCTTTGTGGTTCTTTTGGCACATTCCAAATGGACGCTCCATCCCTCCGTCGATTCAGCTGTCCATCGACATGGATCGACCCTGTCCGGACCGGGGTCCTTTGGATCGACGACCAAGGACTCCCCCTCCGAAAGCAGGGCGAAGACCTGCAGATGTTGGGGGGATTTGGGGGGTTCGAGTTCAGCGACGCGCACGAGTCCGGCGGTGAAGGTGACGTGCACACGACCCGACCCGGTCACCACTTGAGACGTGAGCAAGGACCCAATGAAGCTTCGTCTCAAGACCTGTTGGAAGGCACTGGTATAGGATGACTTCCAAGTTGAAGGCTTTTGTTGTTTGGGATGGGTGATGTGCCTGAAGGCAGCACGTCATGCTCCCTGGGACCTTCTTGGATGCGTTGGAGGATCAGGCATTTGAGGCAATTCCCTCCATGGGACGGAAGAAATGAGTGCTCATTGTCATTGTCCCAACCTTGTGCGATGGAGGTCACTATGATGTTCCTCTTCAAGCACACAGCTGTGAGAAAAAAGAACTCTTTATTCCCAAAATTCGAGTCAGTTGGGAATTGGATCATCTGGATTTTAGTACCTCTCAATACCTATAAGGCCCTGTCTGGCCGTAGCTAGATGCAAGCAACATCAAGTAACTGAACAGAAACTGACTCCCTCATGTGTGCTGGAAAATACGGCTAGCCTTCTTCCATCTGTTCAATCCCCGAAAAGGTTAAAGTTTATCCACAAACTGGGTGGGGAAAAGACCACGCAATGGCTTGAGCTTCGATACGGCAGTCTTGTATTCTGTCTGCACTGCTGCCGAGAAGGCCCACCCGCTGCAAGGCGGCCACCACTTGGCTTTGCGATGGAGCCCTGGAGGCTTTTGCGATGGAGTTCTCATGTGGCAAACCACGAAGGTCGTTCGTCATGGCAGGTGCTCAATCAAGTTGGGCCAACAACTATCCAACACCGTCGATTCTCTCGTGGTCACAAGCTCCTTGCTTCTTCTGCAAAGCGATGTGGACTACAAACCATAACTTCTAAAATCAGTATCATAGCAAGAGCTACAACAAAAGAAACAACTGCAAACGCTGGAAGCTGGACCCTGCAACTGGACCAATTGAGTCGAGTCCAATCTGGCGATGTGGAACGTCCAGTTCTGACCTCAGCAAACTGTAGCGGAAGTCCAAATTGAAGAACCTCAGCTGATAAATCGGAGCATTCGTGTCCTTCACCAAGTTCCAGGTTCCCAAAGCCCAAAGCAGTAAAACTTCACCCAGAGCGAATGAGACAAGGACCACGTCAACATGACTTAGGCACGCGAGCGACCCCATCCAATTTGCAAACGAGAGGCAAGTACTGCAAAAGGCTATTGAGATAGCATGTGGCACCAAGATTCCTGTGGGACATTTTTCTTGCTTGCCTTGCCCCCCAACCCTTCAACCCGTCGTGATTCATCGTGACTTGACCATCAACAAGTCACCCAAACATAAGCCACAGGTGGTTTTCGGACCACACGGGACATGGCCCGGTCCAAACCCTGCCTAGTTCGAGCATCTTGAGCCCTCGACGGTCTGCAACAACGGAATACAACGGAGTCATCGAATACGGAGTCATCGACTTCCATCTTCGGTCGGATGGTGTCCAGCTTCAGAGCCAAGCTCGCCCAAACCTTGATATGAACTACATATGAGATGAACCTGAGATGTCAGTTCCCTCTCATGAGGGAAATATGCCGACCCCTAGTGTAACAGTGTAACCACCTCCTTTTCGCGTAGGTTGGGGGGAAAATTCCCGGTTGGAATCACCGCTGAGCTAACCGCGTGCGTCAAACGTCCGTTCTTCCCCGGTCAGACCGCCGTCCTGAGCCCTGCCGGTCTCCAAAAGCCCGGCGTCGCATGGCGGCAGCTGGTGGCTGGATCCTGAATCGTAGCGATCGGTTTGGCAAAGGAACAAGAAGCTACTAGCGGCTCCTGGCCATACTACTAGGAGCAAGGACGCTACTAGGGGCTCCTGGCATCGCTACTAGGAGCAAGGACGCTACTAGGGCGTTTCCACCTTCTCCCAGACGCAACGGGGGTAAATGAAAGATCGACCTGCAGATCCTCCCAACCAATGGGTCTGACAGCTATAACTAATGTGATAGTATTTGGATGTATTTGGTCCTGGATTGTCCTGGTCCTTCACGTAGTCTGGTCTTCCTTATGTTCGTTTATTTCCTGTTTGTTAGGCTCAAAGAAATCAAAACAAAATCAGAAAGTGCATAGAAATGCATATAGAAATATGCTTTCAATTTGACCATGGGCCTGCTACCTAGTGAGACCTCACAAACCTGCTTGACCATTTGTGTTGGGGTTTCAGGATTCGGAGGCAGCTCTCCACCAGACATTCTCGTCCAGCGGGCTACCGAACGAGTGCGCCGTTCAGTCATTTCTGCATCTCTTTGCTGTCAAAGAAAGTGGACCCAGCTTCTGATTCTGATGGATGTCTTTGGGCCTTGAACTCTTATATATATATATATACTTTTTTGTACGTAAGTAGAAGGTGCAAAAGGTCCGCTGAAACCCCTGAGAAGCGGGCGCATTTTAAGGTTGCCACTGAACAAATCTTAGCAAACATGCTAGTGAAGATGGTACACGCCCAAAGCAGGGACCGGTGCTTGACCGTGTCCTGCCCAAGAGCTTTGCTCAGCGCAGTCTCCTTTTGCCAAACACCGTGCTTGTCCTGAAGGATCGTGCTTACTCGGTCTCACAAGGTCTCAACACGATCAACACGTCACACGGCTACTTTTGGGTGGCACTTGGCGCTTCAGTCAACATCAAGAACAACCGACAGAACATGACATGAATGGCAAAAAGCATGCGCTTCAAGTTACTCCAAAGGTGATCATAGAGTCTTAGAGTCTTAGAGCAAGCATTGCTCTCCGAGATGACCTTACCTGGATGACAATTTCTTACCCAATTTCTCAAAATCCAGCTACCTCAAATGTTCGCAATGCCTCAAATTGAAGAAGCAAAAATCCCAAGATAGTACTCTTTTGTATTGAAGAAGGCGAGTTCTCCAACAATACCACTGCTCTTGCAGGCAGCCATTCCCCCAAATCCACATCTTCGCTTTTTGGAGCCAGTCATTGAAGTCGATGACCAGGTAAGGATTGGGAAAGCTTCCTGCGACGACGCTTTCCACGACGGTGGAGCGTACGCGACGCGGGACGTGACGGATGGCGCGTGGCGCGTGGCGCAGGCAGCGAGTGGCGCGTGGTGTTTCTTTGCTCCGTCACAGCCTGAAGACCACGTGAGCAGTGCCCAAAAATGCCTCTGGCGGAGCACAGCCTGATAAGCGCCCAATCAACATGGATTTCTGCTGTGACCAAGTCAGCACTTAGTTACCTCGCTATTGAACCAATAATATGTATAGTAGCCTTTAGCCAATAAAGCTTATTTACCATTTCTTGCAACTCCGGCAGGGGCTTTGACCACTGATCAGAAAAGTCAGCCGTGATGAAACAGTCGAGAAATCGTGGACTTGACCCAACTTGGTTGGTTCATCCACGAGACCCTCTCGGTCTTCGCCAAGGTAGGGTAAGGTAAGTCTCGGAAGGTACAGTTCATTTGTTCTATCCACTGCTTCAGACATCTCTCACCTCACTTGAGCTTCTCACCTCACTTGATAAATATCAACACCTCACTCAACACAATCCGCACGTGTTCGTCTGGGCACCACTTGCCACAGCTTGCAAAGGTTGGACGAAGTTGTCCTCGAACTTGTTGCGCTTGCCCCTCAGCTCCCAATACCACCTCAGAGATCCAGAATGAAACCCGCGTGGGGTAGTAGCAAGGATGCTACTGGTAGCTCCTGGCCATAGTACTAGGAGCAAGGACGCTACTAGTAGCTCCTGGGGTTCAAGTCAACCTCCTCTCTTTTACAAGTCAAACACCATGTGTCACCCATCTCCAGTGGCCCTGGAAATCACTTCAGCACGCTTCCCTTGACCGGTCCGAGACGGCGCCTGGGTTGAGGGTTGACATATCCAAAACCACATATATAGACATGTTCCCCCCCCAAAAAAAAAATGATTCTATATGATTCTATGATATTCTATATGTTTATAGCATTGTTTAGTCCACAACTTCTTCATTCAAAACGGTGGGAAAGGTTCTTCTCTTGCTGAGAGGCGAAAATGTTGACATCCCCTCTTGCTTCATGAACTCAAAGAACTCCTCATCACCAGCGTAGTAGATCAAACTACCCACCGCAGAAGCAGGAGTCTTGCTGAGAATCGCTTCAACCTTGCGCAGGATGGGTTCCAGTTTGTTGAACCACATGATACCACATGCAAAATAATTGCCATCACTAATACTTATTAATTAGTATACGCGTATAACCCGCCTCAATTCTATCCACCTGCTGGTGGGTGTCTTCTACCTTTAACTTTCAAGAACCACCTGATTTCATCTTGACATAGGTTCGGCAAAATAAAGTCTCGCGCCGCGGCACTTGTGGTACGCTGGCGGTTCCGTACTTTGAGGCTCCGGGTGGGAAGGCTCTGGGATGGCCCCATGACTTTCATCGCCAATTGTGGTCTAACGAATACCATGCCCAAACGATGTTTCATTCGGCTGGCAAAACCATGTAAACCCAAAGTATGAGGTCTGTCCAAAATTCCCTACACCTGGAATCACGTTTGGGCTTCCCCATTGGTTTTCAATGTTTGGCGAATGTCAGCCCTTGAACCTTTTTCTCTCCAGTCTCTCTTCATCTCGACACGCTTTGTCTTTCGAGTATTGCCGAGAAATACTGCATTGTGAGTAATGCTATTGCTCTCTTGTGGCTGGCTTGGCGAAGTCTTATGGCCCGGGCCCCGCAGCAAAAGCTCAAGTACTAGTTCCTTGCACTTGGGCATGTCCTTTGAACCATATAGTCTGCTGCCGACGTGGGTATGTCCCTTGATCTGGCCTCTGGAAGTAATTCCGCGGCATCGGTTTGGGCATTGGTCTATACACACTGGTAAAATCTAAAAAAATAGTTGTTGTTGTGGTGGTGGTAGTAGTAGTAGCAGCAGTAGTAGTGGTAGCAGCAGCAGCAGCAGCAGCAGCAGCAGCAGGAGGAGTAGTAGTAGTAGTAGTAGTAGTAGTAGGTGTTGCAGTATACTGTACAGTCGTTGTTGTGGTGGTGGTCGGAGTCGTCCTCGTAGTAGTAGTTACTAGTTGTTGTTGTTGCGGCTATCACCAAATCAGTCCCTAACATCCGGTCAATGTTGGATAGTTCCTAGCAGCCGCTAGAGTAGGAGAGTGGATCGAGAGTGCTAAAACATGCTAAAACCTGAACAGCAACAATTGCTTGACAAAAACAACACTCCGCTCAGTTGAAACCATCTGATGATCAAAGATGCATGATACAAAGGCATCGAGCTTGGGTGTTCCTCATCGGTCTTCAGCATTTGCTCAATGTACACAAAATTAAGACCCCCGACAACAAGTTCCAATATTTTGGACGGATCTCTCAAAAAAACTGGTCAGGAAGAATCACAGCAAGCTGGGAGTGCGTTCCATCTTCCACGCTCTACCTGTACCTACCCTTAGACGGTCACTCTTTCTCAATTCAGCGCAAGACCATCCTCCCTCTTTGCAGCTTGGCCACCACGGGCCGAAATTCCTGAGGTGCAAAGAAGTAGCGCATGAGGATCAGCTCATTGTGCTCTTCATAGTCGAGTACTTTCAACAGCTCCTCTTGGTACGTCCCGAAGCTCCGCAACAAGCCATCGGGTGATGACAAGACCTGGAGGGATGCAAAGGCCTGGTCGAGTTCATCCATCTTCTTGCTGACCTTCTTGTGCTCATTCACCATCTTCTCGCCCACATTGATGCGTTCGCTCAAAGCGCCCATGACGATCTCTGCCTTGTTCTGGTGATTGGACAAAAGATGCTCCTTGTGCTGAACCCAGGCGTCTTGGAGAGCGTTCACTTCATGCGCCTTCAAGGAACCTCGCTCCACTCCGGCCATGATCACCGCGTGCAAATCCTCAGACTCAGCACCAACAGAAATCGAAACAATCGAAACACTCGACAACTCTTTTGCCATTGACATTTGCCCATTCACCATGAAAACAAGGAGTACATGTTTTGTCAGTTTGAACCACACGTCTGCCTCTCATTTGGAGCTTCAGCCCGAAAGTGTCTCGTCTTTGGGCCAAGGATCTTTCATCTCACCACGGAGGGCATTGTGCGCCATTTTCCACTCATCCCTTTCCCACTGTCGGCCTTCCCATTGGGAATCCTTGTCTGGTGGGTACTCTGCACTCTTCTTCCATTTGGTGTCATAGGGGTTCACATCCGTGGATGCCGAGGAACACGCAGTGAAGCAATCCATTTGCCGGATGACCAGGGTCTGTTTGTCGGAATTTCACTGCGGTGAGAACGAACGTCTCGTAGAAAACGTTCAGGTCGAGTGGAAAACTTTGGGCCAAAAGTGGTGGTCCAAAATATGGAGTCATCTCCCGAAGTCACCTGGTTCCCCTGACTGGATGGAAAACATGTCGCTGGTGGGAAGACCTAAACAAAACATAACAAAACCATGTTCTACAAGAGTCATTGAGCAAAAAGTCACAAGGACCCTGAACCTGGATGTTCCAAAATATCACAGGTGCTTTTGGCTCCTCCCATCTGCATGGGGCTTGGTCTGCACACGGTTTGCGGCAAGGCGTTTCGGCTCCCGCACCTGGTGGAACGACCTCACTGGCATTCTCATCCTGCACCGGCCTGCGCCCAGCATCAAAGGCACAACCCTGAAAAGAGAGGTCCTCACAAAGGTCAAAGGTCCTCACTGAAGATGAAAACACTTGTTGATTCATATGATTCCTATGATTCCTATTTAATCCGCTTTGGTCGTTACTAGAAAGCTTCTATAGTTACTAGTAGCAATCGCCTCCAACCTAATAGTGATGGCCTCCACCTAGTAGTTTCTAGTTACTAGAATGCTATTTACTTAATCTTTTCAATTTAATGGCGATTCCAACAGATTCTCCCAACACCGTCTGCGCTCCGTCCACTCCCAGGCAGCGCACCGTCTTTCACGGCACGGGTCGGAGGAAGCAACACGATACAACGCAGAGGTGCTGCCTGCGCCCTGAGGCAGTCATTGACGCAAACCCCCAAGCAAAATAACGGAGAAACCATGAGAAACCATGAGAAACCCACGTGTGAAATGGCACTTCATGTCAATGAGTACCAAGATCAGATTGACAGCCGTCAGCTGAACAATGCCTTTGATTCGCACGAAGAGCTCATCTTCACTCCTGAGAGCCCAGCGGCCTCTAAGAAGTCCAGATTCTGACGCCGATGCAAAACAGATCTTCTGCACCATGGGTGGACCGGCATGGTCTATACAAAAACACCCACATGTTCTGCATTTGTGAATATGAAACACCAGGTGGTGGACGCGTTCGGTGCTACTATCCCTTCGAATTGAACACATATCTGAAAGAGCTGAATATGGATCTGTGCTGACAGGGTTTGGTGATCGAAACCACATGCCCATCATGACCCACAGGTTCCAATGAACATCTTTGCCATACCATCCTCCATCTGCCTTCCTATACAAGAAGCTAGTAGGAACAAGTGCCACGCTACTAGTAACAAGTGCCTTACTACTAGTAGTAACAAGAAGCTAGTAGTAACAATGTCCGGAGAGCCTTCGATTTCTGACGCTTCGTGCAGCCTTTCGAAGCTCCGTTCCCTGTCAAGCGACGAACCTCGCCGGACGACAGTGGACATCGGAGGGCCCCCCCACCTCCAGTGGCGGAGCTGCTTCTGCAAGCTTTTGGGCCTTGGTGCTACGTCCGAGCTCGTGCTGCCTGGCTTGAAAAATGGAAGGTCTCACCATGTCTCACGTCACCATGTCCCACCATCCGAAGACTCTTGGTATAGCTTTAAAGCTAGTAGTAACAAGTGCCACGCTACTAGTAACAAGTGCCTTACTAGTAGTAACAAGAAGCTAGTAGTAACAAGATTCTTGGTCTTGCCATGGAATTCGATCTGGGCCCACTGCGGCCTTGGCAGCCGCCTTGGCGGTGCCTGACTTCCTGGCAACCGGCGTCGGCCGGACCACGGCCAGAGAACCTCTGAAACGGACAAAGCCATTCTTGTGAGTAACATTGAAAAGCATGCACGTGTGTGCATGTGCATTTTTATCCTGAAGCTTCCTTCGCTTAAGACAAACACTCATGTCAAAAAGTGCTCATTCAAGCAAGAAGTGCTCCAATCGCTCAAACACGCGAATGGAACCCTTATATGGGTGGTTCACCACGTGTCCCGATCGCGCGCATTTTGCAGCAATTTGCGCTGCGTTGTGTGGGTTTTCACCTTTTGCCCAAGAAAGCTTCAGGCTTTGGCATCTTGAAAAACGCTCAAAACCCTTCAATACCCCAAAGAGCACGCATTGCATCAAAAATCACTACACAAGTCAACAAATGCTCAACCGCTAGGCGTTTTCAAACCGTGCTACGAGTACAGCTACGCATTAAGCGAAATCGGTTAAAACAACAAACTAGCAATAGGTCATCCAGCATGGCCACGGGTTTTGACTGTGGCCACTGGCCAGTCCACGGGTTAAGCATGCAGCTGCAGTCTCATCACTTCCAGGTATGGGGTGCGGATCGCACAGCCACAGGGCAGGGAACAAATATGTTCAACATGATGCTAGGCATCAACAAAAATAGCGAGGCAAATCTGAAGATCAAACCTTTTCAGAAAGAAAGACCTTCATTCCGACCATGTCATGCCATGAACCCCCCACTGACGCCGACTTCGCGAAATCGAGGGCGAAGCGAGGGCGGTGTCGGGGCCTCTTCGGCGCCATGGGGGCCGAGGCGGTCGCCCCGTGGCGCTCACCCAGCTGGAGCCCAAAGTCGATCGTTCTCCGGTCCGGTCACCGGTCGGTTGGACCGGTCGGTTGGGACTGATGTGAGGTTGGCGCCGGAAGTCTATGACACGCATCTGGGAGGATGGAAGAACCTGAGAGATACTTTAAGAATCTTTAAGATTTCTTTGCTGCATGAGGTAGAGGCACCTGTTCCTTTAGGCAGCTTTGCTAGACTTGCGTGCTTTGAGAGGAAGCAAGCAAGAATAATGGACACTTTGGGGTAAATATGGATAAATACATGATAATACAATTACGGGTAGCAGATACTCCCCTTGTTCTAATTTATCATGTAATGTAGTTTGGAGCAAGTGCCATGCTTTCCAGCAACAGCCGGCCACCTCAAATGGCCCCAAACTGCCAACCTCTGTGGTATAGATCATTCTGATACTTTTGCATACTTTTGCAACGTTCAGTCTCACAAGTTAAATACAGTTCAATAATTGCATCTGTTACTGTTACAGCAAGGAGATTGCACAAACCCCAAGAGCTGATTTGCTTAGTTGGTTTGTGCCACATCACCGGGTGGGTTGTTACGCCCTGACCAAAACGGCGCAGCTGCAGGACCCTTTTTTCCCCTGGCACCGAACAGCCCTGTCCAAGCCATCGATGGCCAGTGCACTTCCACCGCACGACCAGCGTGACGACGGTCCATGTTTCACAGTGGCACGTCACAACGCGGTGTTCGAACGTGGAGCGTTCATTTTCCCGACGTTTTGTCCGCCCATGGGAGAACTGCTTCTCGGCTTTGGGCCTGTTGCATCCTGTTAACACATGTCATTCGTACCTTTGCACAGCCTCCGCAGGGCGACATAGTTTTACACACTGGCACGACGAAGCACGAGTCTTTTCGAAATCTGTGGTCTACTCAACAAAGTGATCCTGCTGATGAAAGAACGTGCGTGCATCTGCCTCTAATCGTGAAACGTGTCACCTGCCTTTGCCAGGGTAGGTTCCACTCAATTCTTGTATATTCTAGTCATCTTTGGTTCAAAATGCTTCAAGTCATTAAATTGCTCAGTTGGTCACACCCCTGGCTTTGGGCCGTAGACGTCCACTCAGGCGTCCAGTTGCGTGAGCATGGCGACTCCACGCTTCACCCAATGGGATTCCTGGGGGCGGCACGGCTCTTGCCAGCTAGAACAGGTTGAAGCGCCCAAAAGGACTCACAAAATAGTGTTTTTTGGGGGGGCTAGGCCGCTCGTAGAGGTAGGAGAGGTAGCTAGTAGTAGCTAAAGGTAGCTACTAACTACTGGACGCAGGATAGTGCTCGCACTAATGATTTGGTTCCCTGATTTTTCCAATTTTGGGGGGACACTTGATATATACTCTCCTGGAGACCTTAGAGAAGCGGTGGCAAACAGTGGGGTCCTGGGATTTATATCAAGAACCTTGCTACCCCCCCATAGAAGGGCCATTGAAATTCCAGCTGTCAGAACAGAGTGTGACAATTGCTGCCAAGAGTCCGGATGAGAAGATCTAAGCTTGATAGGCATGACCTCATTGGCATCCAAGCACGAAAGATCACTGCCAACTGCAAACCAAAATTGCAAGAATTGATTCTTGTCAATCGCTGAAACATGGTTTATCATGGTTTACTATTTATCGTGTGCTCCTTCTTGCCTGACGTCCAAACAAAACCTGTCTCAGCATCGCACGAAGTTGGTACTGTGCCCAGTGGTCGAGAGCACGCCCTTCTGGGTCGACACCTGAGTCACCAAGACGGCCGGCAGTGCTTTTTCCACCGAATCAAGGATCGCCTTTTCGTCCGACCCGAACAAAGCGGAAGGTTTTGGGACGTCTTCGCCGAAACCCCTTTTCGCTTGCTTCGCTTGCAACGGAACGCCTTGTAGAGCGGGCAATCGTACCATGGGAACTTGCGCAGCTCCGCCTTCCGGGAACCGTCCTTGCTCCTAGTAGCGATGCCAGGAGCCCCTAGTAGCGTCCTTGCTCCCAGTAGCGATGCCCTTTGCTCCTAGTTTGGGTCGAGTCTCGGGAAGCGAATCTCTGGTCGCGGTCCGCCCGGTCCGCCTTCTTGCAGGGCACGATCCACAGCAAGGGCACAGGGACCTGGCGCAGCTCCGTTTTGGAGGTCGGAAGGTCTGAAAACAAACGTCAAGCTATGTTGGTCGGAAGGTCTGAATCCAAATGGAGATGTCGGAAATGAATGGCAAGAAGAACAATGCTTGTTGCAGTCTTGCGTGGATATGCGTGGATTATTACATATGACATGACATACCCAACCAACAAAAAAACCGTTTCTTGCAGCGTGTCAACTTCTTTTCGCGATGGCCAAGCGGCATAAAGCACTTTCAAGTCGCTTTCGGCCAGTTCCCACCTGAGGATTCACATGAGCGCGGTTATTGAATTTGACCTTCAGACCTTTGGGTCTCGAAAGAACTCTCGGTCTGGAACTCTCGAAGGATCGGCGACCCACTCATATGGGTTGTCACAAGGAGGGTTTTGTGTGGAACCCGAGAGTACCCAGTATTGTGCCAAATCCCCGAGTGTCCCTGGCCCTGACATAGGGGCTGCCAGCTGACCACCCTCCCTCCCACCCACCTCAAAATAATAAAGTTATTATTTTTAGGTGGGTGTACCCACCTGAGAATAGAATTATTATGGAGGTAATATAGTTCAGAAATAGTAAGCCACACAGCATGATAACAGGGGGGTGGTATAGACCACCCACCTAAGTGGGTAGATATATGGGGACAGCTCCTAGGAAAGTGTGCAGTAACAGCAATCGTAGGTGGTTCAAGCGCAACCACCTACAAAATAAAATCGCGCCCTCTTTTCTGCCATTCTCTCTCGGTTTCTCTGTGGTACCGTGAACGTCTGTCCAGTCTTTTTTGCCTTGATGGGGCAGCCGATCCGGGAGAATATATGGAAAATATTGAGGACAAGCAAGATCTCTGTCCAAGGCAGGTCAAACAATCGCCGTATTTCAGGGGTGGGGCTGGCCTAAGGGACCTCTGAAATAATTAGTAGATGGACTGATTGACTGGAATGTGTGGATAGCGTGATATGGTCCATAAAACTATTTCAGGGGTGGGGTACCCCCTAAACGACCTGTTAAGTAATAAATAAGGTGGGGGGAATGTTGCCAGTATTTGCCACTTATTCCATGGAAAATATGGAAAAGGTTGAAAACATTGAGGAGTTTAGTAGAAGGAACCAGTAAGGGAGGCAAGGCTTACCCCACAGACATCATTAATAATATTCAAGTAACTATTTATTTTGGGGGTAGATGACAGGTAGCCCACCTGCCAAATAGTATTATGTTTGTGCTCGAATGGATGGATCCCAGATAAAGGTAGCCCCCTGATAGGATGGATCCCAGCGAGAATTTGATGAGAGTGTGAAGCCGGCTGCTTTGGCTACCAGAGTTTTGGATCAGGTGTGCCTTGGCTAGTTCAAACTGATTGCAGCGCGACAAACGATGACTTGGTGGCAAAGCATAGCTGATTGATGTGGGAGTCAGACGTTCACGGTCTGACAGAGAAACCGAGAGAGAATGGCAGAAAAGAGGGCGCGATTATTTTTGTAGGTGGTTGCGCTTGCACCACCTACGTTTGCTGTTACTGAACACTTTCCTAGGAGCTGTCCCCATATATCTGCCCACTTAGGTGGGTGGTCTATACCACCTCCCCCCTATCTTATCATGCTGTGTGGTTTATATTTTATATCTTGATTGTCTCAGCTCTGTGGACAAGCACATCAAATTATTTTTGCTCTGGCACACGTACCCCTCCACCTGCCAAATAATTTCCAATAAACCCTGCATCATACCTTCTTCCACGGGTTATTGTTATTCTATGTCATTCAGTGCTAAAAATTATTTGGAAACCATATATCAAAATAATATTTCATTATTTTGCAACATGCCATACCATATTTTTCTACATGGTAGATATTATTTTTCCCGAATGCGTAGCGAAGGGTTCTCGTTTAACTCTGGGGGTCTGGGGGTAGAGTCTTGTTCGCGATCCGTTGTTTCTATGTTCGCAACCGTCCGCAACCGTCCGCAACCGTCCGCAACCGTCCGCAACCGT